GACTAGTATAATTATATATTCGTAAAGTTATAAATTATTATATTAGCCTAGGGCCCTCTTAGAGTAGCCCATGAGCTCTCTTAGAGTAGCCCAGCGAGCCTAGCGGTCTCATAGGCTACGTAAGACGTAGACTTACCTTGACAGCCCAGGGCAGCCCAGGGCTCTCAGAGTCGCGCGGGAAAATTTGCCGATGTTTCGGTGCTAAGCTTAATAAATATCTTACGAAGATAACGAGTCTTCGTAACGTAAGTTAAGAGTACTTACTTATAATCTTAAAGTAGCTTCTAATTTCGCGAATCCTTAATAAATCACTATCTAACCTCGCGTCGATATTCTCTCTCACTAAGCTATTATACCGATAAGTCTATAAGATAAGAAGACTTTAGAAGTAATTTCTTCTCTAAGATTCGGCGAGTATTCTCTAAGATATAGCGATAAAGCTAGATAATCTACGATATAAAGATAGTATTACTCTAATAGTATACTTTCTCGTTATCGAGGCTTTAGCTAATATATTTCGATATAATTTTATACTTAGATACGTAGAAGAGTATTAGCCGCTAATTAAGAATGACCCCGAAGATCGTGCTCTTTTCTTATCGTAATCACTACTAATAGAGCTACTCTAAAATAATATTAATATATATTGTAATAAGGTAAGGTGGCTATGCTGTAATAAGCCGTACTAGGCTAGTAAAGCGGTGATAGAGAGAAAAAGTTATCTAGTCATATATTAAACCTAAATAGGCTGGTAGAAGGGGGTGTAGAATAGTTTACAGTACTGGTAGTGTGCCATTCATTAGAGATTAAGCAGAGCATTATAAATTCTATGGCTTTTAGCGCCGTCTATCTAATTCCTAAGTGTTTTTTTTTATTAGTCCTGTCCTGTCCGTCGATACTCCCGCTGTGCTAGGTGTTTATAGCCCTAGCCGCTACCTCTCTAAGTGGTGTTAGTGGTATTATCTTATCAGTATTAACCAGAAACGCGTTCTCGATTTCCGATCTACTGGATAGGCCTCTGTGCGTTATTATACGTGCCCGCTAAACTCTAAAGTGCTCTATTACAATATATTCGGTTCGACCTCGACTTAATTATAGACGAGGCGAAAGATTCACAACTAAATATAATATACTAACGTAGATAGACAGTTATTAAAGTTACCGGGAGCTTTCCACTCATTTAACCGAGATTATAGAGCTTAGATAGTAGTATAAACTAATAGCGATAACTTAAATCAATATTTAAATAGAATATATTAAACTAGTGAGAGACTAAGCTTGAAGATCTAAGCGCGAAGAGTATCTTTCTTCTCGCTACTAGCGGCTTAAAGATAAGCGTAGAGAACGGTAATCTATTAAGAAGTGACGTAGAAAAAGTCTAGGTCGGGCTTAAGTTCGTTATTCGTATTCGAATCTTAGTCGCCGACGAGAATCTAGATAGTAGATTATTTATTTAAAATGAGCGTATATTATATTAATAGTATAACGGCTTTTCAGTAATTAAAATAAATAGCTTTAGCGTATATACTAATTCTAAGTTAAAACTCTTATAAGTAAATCGTAGCGATATTCTAAAATTAGCTTAACATTACGGTCATCGGTCGCGTAAATCGATAACTTAGTTCGTTTAAGCACTAGCTCTAGGTCTTATTTAAGAGAGATTTTATTATCTCTAGAACCTTTAAAATTAGCGTATTCGGCTTATCTTTAGCGAAAGGAGCTTCGTAGAGTCGATAAAGTTCGACCTTACTATAGTGACGAAGATAATGAGTAAAGCTATACGATCGAACTTAGAGGAGAGTAGTGAAGCGATAAGCGTTGAATTTAGTAACTAGGTCGGCTTATTTTCGCTCTTCTTAATGAATAGTGTCTTAAATCTAAAGTTATTAATATAAAAAGATATTATAGCGGATATCGAGACGAGAGACGATATTCTTAGCTAGCTTAGAAACGCGAAAATAATAAGTTAAGGAATGAGTACGAAAGATAATCTATAAGAGATAGAGCTCGTAACTCTATCGCTACCGATCTATTCGAATATAGTGAGCTTTAGAGATATAATCGCGCGTATTAGACTCGTTAACACTAAGTTAGTTATCGTAGTGGAGACATCGAAATCCTTTCTACACGGTTAAATAGAAAATAGCTTAAACGGGCTGCTTCTAAGCGGAAGAGTAGCGAATATCTATAGAAGCTTTTAACTAAAGACTTCGAAGATATTAGTATGTAACTTTTAGCTTATTATCCTTAAAGTAATACGGCTAAGCTCGAAGATATCTCTAAAAGAGAGATTTATCTTCTAAAGCTATATCTATCTAGTAACTTAAGTAAATAGCTACGTATAGAGTGAAGTCATAATAGAATTCTATTATTGCTCTATATAAAAAGTATATTATAGAATAAACGCTTATAGAATGAACGCTTATAGAATAAATATTTATAGAATAAACGCTCGTAGATAACGCTAATAGTATACACTTTATAGAATAAATTTATAGAATAAATACTTATAGAGATTAACTCTTACTAACTTAGAGTTAAGATAATTTAGAGATAAGCTTAACGCCACTAGAACGCGAGGCTAACGCGATATTAACTAGGGCGACTCACTAGGACGTATACCTAGGCTCTTCTTACTATCGATAGAGCTCGGATATATTTACACGAAGAAGTTAGGAGTAACCGTACGACTCACCTTGCACAACCTGAACCTAGTTTTGGAGGGTATAACTCTAATTTGACCTAAATCCCTTTTGACGGTGAAAAGTGCCAAGCATATGCTTATATAATACGCTCCTCCATACTACAAATCCTATTTGACCGTTAAAAGGAACGATTTATAGTGGTAGAGAGACATTTAATCCGTAAATATTCGTCGAAGATCTTATTAGTGGTATTACTAAACTAGGACGAGGCTACTAGCTATGGGTATTAACTCGTACGGCGGTGAGTATAGTCTCTTTATAGTACGTACACTTAGCCGAAGAAAGTTCTCTCTGTTCGTAACTTAATTAATTTCTTAATTATTCATTCTATGAATGATAGTCCCCGAGGACTATATAAGAAGAACCTTAGTTTAGTGTCGACGCCCTAGCTAATCATAAAGCTATTCACCACTTTAAACTTCTTTTATTACACTAAGAACTCTAACCTAGTTAGACCTTAGTAGAAACCTTAATAATATAATTAAATATAAATATATTAAATATAAATAGAAATAACTAAATATAAATAAATATAGTAGTACTCTATATATATATTAAAATATAATATATTTAATATAACTAAATATAACTAAGTATAAATTTAATTATAAATTTCGAATAAATATACTAAGATATAGTATAATAAAGTATTTTAAGATTTAATATATATATATAATAATATATAGAGATTTATTTAGTAAATTAAGAATTAAGAATACGTTTCTAGTTAACGCTAATAAAGTAATATTATAATTAACACTATCTCTAAAGAGATAGCGACTAAAGTAAAGAGCGCTTAGTACGGCGACGATATTAAAAAGTAAAAAAGAGTCGACGAAATACTTAGAAATAAATAGATAATATTAAAAATATAAAATACTCTATTAAATCTATAAAGAATAATATATAGCTAACACTATAAATTATTTGGCACTATCCGCTCTTTTATAACTACGCGTATCGATTAAGAATATATTAAGTAATGTAATGCGCACTTATAGTTATAATAAGGTGGCGTTAATAATTAATAATAGACGTGAGCTCTCATAGATATTAGCTTAGCGTTCTATGAGCGGCGCTGAGCTCGCTGGGCCACCACGGCATTCGGGAATGCTCTGGGCCGCGGGAAAAATTGCCGATGCGATGCTGTCACCGTGCTAGATGTTTGTAGCCCTAGCCGCTACTTCTCTAAGTGGTGTTAATGGTGTTGTTTTATCAGTATTAACTAGAAACGCGTTCTCGATTCCCGATCTACTGAATAGGCCTCTATACGTTGTTATACGTGCACGCCGAATCCTAAAGTACTCTATTATAATATATATAGAAACTTTTAGTTTAATTGAGATATATAGATAGAGATATTGTAACAAGGCAAGGTGGCTGTGCTGTGATGAGCTATGATGGGCTGGTAGAGCGGTGGCAAGGTGAAAAAGTTGTCTAGTCACATGTCAAACCTAAATGGGCTGGCAGAGAGGAGGTGCGGAACAGTTTACAGTGCTGGCAGTGTGCCATTCATTTTTTACAGATTGAGCAGAGTATTATGAATTCCATGGCTTTTGGTGCCGTCTACCTAAATCCTGAGAGTGTTTTATCAGTCCTGTCCTGTTCCTCGATGCTGCCGCTGTGCTAGGTGTTCGTAGCCCTAGCCGCTGCCTCTCTGGGTGGTGTTGGTGGTGTTGTTGTCAGTATCAACCAGAAACGCGTTCTCGATTCCCGATCTGCTGGACAGGCCTCTGTGCGTTGTTGCACGTGCACGCCAAACCCTGAAGTGCTCTGTTACAATATAATCGATTAAAGTAGTTATAATCTATAGAAAATCTAAGACTTCTAAAAATTAAGGTGTCGTTAAGACTCTTAGCTATTTATTTAGGAAGGTTAAACGATAAATATTTAAAAACCCTAAGTAATTACTAAAACTATCTTAAACTATCTATATAATCGCTTACTAATAACGTCTTTTAAACAGTTCGAACGAAATCTAGGCCATTTTCACATATCGGGTCTCAGACTCGTTTATCGTAACATTCTTTAAATTTTGTGATTGGCCGGTGCTTTACCTCATAGCCTAGCCAATCAGGGCGTAGCCCCGATATCGGGTCTGAGGACTGAGACAACGAGCGGCTGATTAAAAGGGACGACCTCGGGGCCTTCAACTCATTGTAAGTTATGCTTTGGGAATGACATTTGAACTTCGAGTCTAAAAGGATGTCATTGACACACCAGAAAAGGGAAGATGGAGGAGTACAACAAGGGTTTCGATACTGGCGACGAATTCTCTAGTCCGAACCCACTTTCTCAAGGAGTGCCTTCGTCCGGAAGACAAGCTACGGCGGCTTCTTCACCCAATTCCGATGACACCACAGGGATCTCGTCTTCTGAGCCTCTGATTCGAGTATACCGGTCCCTCCTCAGCAGTGCCGTCTCGTGTGTCTCGAGGATCATCTCCTCTATCTTCTCACGAGGCTCCGAGTCAATCTTTGGGAGTTCGGGCTCGTCGAAATCCGATTGCATTTCAGCACCACTTTCTTCATTCTCATCTTCACTGTCAGCGATTTCGAAAGCCTTGCGCTTTTTGGACCGTGCCAGCTGGTCTTTTTGGGATGACTGCGTGAGTTCTAGTGGGTGAAATGGAAGGCTGTGTTCCTTGTCGGCAAAGAATATTCCTGCATTATCATCGCCTTCAGCGTCCGCCTGAGCTTGACAGGGTGAGGCGGCAAGATTCAGGTTTCGGAGGCCCTTGGAGGAGATTACAAATGGGACTGGGTGCATGCAGACGTCTTTCCAAGCCATTCGTTGAACTTCCGCATACCGTAAACGTCGGGATTGCATCCCTGATGTTGCATCCAATTGTCTATCGTCTGTGAAGCCACGGTAAAGCATGATTCGGGTATGGATCGCGGAGTCCCAAGCTTGACTGGCTAATGCTGCTTTCAGGGTTGCTTTAGTTTGACTTTTTAAGCTCGTTGTTGTGTTCGTTAGGACTAGGATTGCAATGTTCTTCAGAGCGGCCATCTTTGACATTGCAGCAGCGAGATTTTCAATAATCTGAAAGCGTTTTGAAACAGCTTGCTTTTCAAATTTCTCTCTCACAGCAGCCGGGGCGGAGACCTTAAGTTTCTTCGGATTTCGAGAAAATGAGCCAAGAAGGAGGTTGGAGAGGTCGTCGACAACGATTAAACACGTCTTTGACGAAGGAAACGAGCGGAGAGGATGCAAAAATACTGTCAACAGACGAGGTAGGGTGTGAGCTCTGAGATAAGTAAACTTGTCTTGTAGGAGAAACTCGGCGTCCAAAGGCTCTGGTGGTGATGAGGGGAGATCGGAATCGGCGGGCATAGTATGCGAGCGCAACAGGTCGTCCAGTCTCTCTTCGATGAAGGGAGAACCCGTGTCAACCCACAGCACATCAGAATCCTCGGAGCCCGAATGAAGTGCGTTGACAGAAACTTGCAGACCAAAGGTAGTCTTGCCGACTCCTGGTGGTCCGTAGACTTCTGTCACATGGCCCCTTTGAATTCCCGGTGTTGCAATTGAGAGTCCATTGATCTCATTTGCGAGTATTGTGTCCAAAGCTGGGAGACTACAGGGTATCCCATTAGATTTAGAGGATATGTTTTTCAGCGCTTCAATGGCGGAGACGGTCGGTAGTCGATGCTGAAAGGGTGAGGTCGAGAAGTTGTGAATATCTGCTTCTCCGTCCTCCATTCTTGGTCTGAGTTGTAGACTCCGTGGACATGTTGAAGCCCGTCGCTGGAAGATGAATCTGTCGTATACTTTTTTGGCTAGCTGACAAGGTCATGGCGAAGTTCAGCTGCTGTATAAAGAATCAAAGATGACGAGTCAGTCACGGCAGCCATATCTATTGTCCCATCTGCTCTAAGCCGCGACGCGTTTACAGGGCGTATTTTTAACTAGGAGTGGCCAAGAGTTGTGGACACCGAGACACCGAGACGGCGAGGCAGGTGAGATTTAAATGACATGTCAGACAACAGAGGCCACCAGCGCTTCACCGAGGGTTTGCCGACTTCTCCTTTCTTCTCTGCTCACTGACTTGTGCACCTCCCAAGACCACCCTAGGGAGCTTCAAGAATACCTGATATAATTCGATGCAGCACCTTCTCTAAGTCATATGCTGCTCATTATATAACGAACCACTTCTAAGTGATTGGGCATTCGAGCATTCTTGGCCGGTCTCAATGGTTTTACTGTGAAGTTATCAATGCCCATCCTACGCCTTTTTTTGAGGCCTGAGCTCATTAAACTTGCCCTCTCGCCAACATCTAGCCGCATCAGAGGAAAGCCAAGGCCATAATGGACCAAGTTGCGGTCATTATTCCCCCCCTCTTGGTCTCATTCACACTAATTTGCCGTGCAAGAGGTTTGGAGGATGCGACTGTCACTTGAAGGCTACAAGCAAGTGGCTTTAAGCGGACCATCCAATACCAGTGACTAACAAAATCAAAACACATGCGCTGAACTCTCAGATTCAACCGCCAAGTTTGCCGACTCAAAGTGCAAAATCAAGGTTTTATTTGTCCATCCTATCAAGTCCCGCGCTGGTGTCGAATCGGACGGTGCCGATGTTAACGCAGCTGGATTCAGATGGGATTGAATGTTTGCATTCGCAGAACTGCTTCCGCCTCAGACTCACTCAGACGCTCCACAAGCTGGAAAGAGTCTGAAATGGACTTTCATAACATTGAGGCAACCTGGCAGGGTTGCCTCTGGCTCTTGTCAAGCCGAAAATTTGGCTTCCGAGTCCGACTGTCAAGACACCGAGCCATGATCAAGGCTGAGTGGTAGTGATGTATCTTCGCATACTTATCGGGCCTTTGGCTTTGCTTTTCCGGCTATTCATTTGGCTTGGATTCGTGTCGCAGGAAAAGTCATTCCGATTTCCGCTCGTTCCTGCAGAAAATCACAAGTATCCTATCGAAAACGTCACGATTTAGAGAAACAGTCCAAGGTAGTTAGACTACGGTCTTCATCTGCCCGCTGATTCCACTTTCGGTGGGGCCTCAAATCCTGTGACACCCTCCAGAGTCGATCAAACGTATACCGAGAGGTATTGCGTTGTGCGCCCAGAAAAGAAAAACTTGGTTACCAGCCCGTAGTTTGTTTTGCTGACGCGTAGCCGGTGCATCGGTTGAACATTGTATCAGTCCGCGACGTTGCAGCGATAGTAAAAAAGGACATTCCTCAGTTCACCGCAGGGAGATTTTGCACAAACATCATATTAGATGGGCCAGGCACCTACAACGAAGACAACTGGAAGAAGATCCGAATCGGTAATGTAGTCTTCTTCTGTGCTCGTCGTTTGGTCCGATACAGACTACCTAACGTTGACCCCGATACCGCTGTGATGCACCATGTCGAACCAGATGAGACAATAAAGTCCTTCAGGTGCATCGACGAGGGTGATCTGCTGAACGCGTGTGTTGAACTTCAACTAGTGCCGGCAACGGTTAGTGCCTTTCGTACACATACCGGAGACGAGGTTGAAGTCCTCGAAAGAGGTAGTCATAGGAACATCAAGCAGTAGAGGCTCCGACATGAAGTTTCACAGTTCAACGACTGCGAATTTCCTCATACCTGAGGAATTGGTCGACTTTACGTCGGAGTAGAGAGCTTTCGGTGGCCCATGAAACTTCCATACCGTGGCGCTATCGAAGAGCACGTGGTCCTGGAATCTCACATTGACTTCAGCGTCTCGAAAATTTCTGTGTGGCTATATCTGGATCTGTTAACAGGGTTTCATGATAGCCACTGTATGGCAACCCACCTAAGACGCTAGGCGTTTCACCAACTGCGCCACTTACCTCAACACCTGGCATTGTTCTCGCTGATCTGTGATAGGATGGCGACGGAATAGAAGATTTCAGGAATGTTCTTCAGATTATAGACTTAAGTGTATATAAATAGATAGAGTCTCTCTAAATGGCCAGGGGGATAGAATACGATGAAGAAGATAGATTCACTCTCATTCTGTATACAATAGGAGCTCTCCAGGTAGAACTACTCGGTAGATTAGATCTAGTTGTGAATCCGTGAGCTCCTCCAACAACGCACCGATTGCACCAAACACAAGGTTTTCGCTCTGTGGATAATCTGGACTAGTGGAGATAAATTCATGACAACTGGGCAGAGAAGTCATCTAAGAACCATGCTGCGGACGGGGCGATATAGACGGTAGTCGCATTATCTCCGGAAGGATTCACAGAACTCGCAGAGTTTGTCCCGAGAAGGACTAGGTTCTTGTTGCTCGACGGGAGATAGCCAATGAAATACTATAGGATAGAGGAAGACTCCACAGTGGCAAGATGTCTTCTATTCAAACGTCCACGGACGAAGTCAACTCCACATCGCCTTAAATCCAGGTGGTGGTAATTTATAAGAACTTATCATACGAAAATCGAGGCCAAAAACATCCGAAGCCCGAGGAGACAATTTAATGTAGCAAGGTACTTTTGTAATTCACTGAAGCTTCGTGAAGGCCCGTCAGAGAACATTATACGACACAACGATGGCAGCTCGAAAGATTGCTCTTGTCACAGGTCAGAATATCCATTTGCAACCCAGGTGTTGTTTCTGCGTCACTGGCTAAGGGCGAGAAAGGTGGCAACAGCGGCATCGGCTATGAGACAGTCAAGGCACTTCTTCAATCCAATGAGCCGTATCATGTCCTCATGGGCAGTCGCTCCCTCGAGAAAGCCGAGGGTGCAATTCAGAAGCTCCACGAAGAATGCTCCAAGTCTACCAACACGGTTGAAGCGCTCCAGGTTGATCTTACAAGTGACGCCTTGATTGAAAAGGCATTCAATCAGGTCAAGGCCAGTCCGGGACATATCGATGCACTGATCAACAACGCAGGTATTAACATTCCCCGTTTCACGTAACATCTAACGCAAGGTGAACGCACCACTCCTAGGAGCGACGTTTGATCTCGCATTTATCGCCGGGGAGGTCTCCCTCCGCGAGTGCTTCCTAAGAGCATACAATGTCAATGTTGCAGGCACAAATGTCTTTACCTGGAAATTTATGCCACTCTTGCTCAAGTCTCCCGACCCTCGTTTGATCTTCGTCACAGGTCTCTCCAATGTTACGCAAGCGAGCAGATCCTATTTTCCCACGCCTCCTCAACCAGCCGGGTGGCCCAAGAAGATCGAGTTCGAGACGATCGGGTATCGATGTAGCAAGACGGCGCTTAATATGTTGATGGTGGATTGGAATCACAAGATGAGAGCTGATGAGGTCAAGGTTTGGGCTGTCGGACCTGGATTCTTGGAAACAGACTTAGGCAATGCACGGCATTTGGCAAAAGAGATGGGAGCGAAGCACCCTAGCATTGGCGGACAATTCATTAGGAGTGTTGTGGAGGGGGCAAGGGATGCTGACGTGGGGAAGATCGTCGTGAAAGATGGGATTTCGGAATTCTGATTGGAGGAGAACGGACCTTCATTGGGACCGGAATGGGATGAAGGTTGCTATTACAGAGGTAGATTGCCGTTGATGAGCCCTCTCTAGCAGACATAATGAGTTTAGAGCTAGGGGACTCTGCTCGGCTCAATGCTTTTCTTCCGTCGCTGCCCGGGCTGCGCTCATGCTGTCGCCTTTCTCAGACACAATTCCAGTCGCTTTATAATGATCTTCAGCTGCCGCATCCCTTGCATGAGCCTCTGCGAAATGACTCCCTTGTCCATGGCCGTCATGTCCGTGGTGATCGTGTCCGATGCCGTGCTCGGCTCCCGCATGATGTGCCTCATGTTGATGGTATCTTTCTTCGTATCGGTTTTCGGTCCCTCTCATCTCCGCTAGGCCGCGCTCGGCGATTTCTCGATTTCTTTCCTCGCCCTCATGTTTGTTGAAGACGCTGTCAAGCGCTTCCATTGCACCGCCACGGAGAGCGTCACCTGCACCGTGGATGCCATGGAGGCCAGATTTGATGTCGTCAACAATGTTTTGAGCTGTTTGTTGCAATTTTTCAGCCATTTCGGATATTTTTATTTTGGGGTGGCCTCGTGCTATCGCTTTAGCGAATCGAGGGGCAAGATGCAGGCTATGTACGATGGCGCACACCAAGCGGCCTGGCAAAGCATTGTCATTTGTACCCAATAGTTGAGAAGGCTGCTGGATGTTGGCGGCTACTACATCGCTGAGGGATGCCAACGTGAGCATGACGTAGTCATCAGGAGACCACCGAGCGACATGGAAAAAGTCGCAGGGTCTGACAAGATGTCTTTTCTGACCCTGTTAAGGTCTGTCTCCCACAATGAGAGGTATCTTTAGTCACAGCTAAGGTGACCGTCACTCCCAATCGAGGTTTGTCTCACCTTGGAAGTAGTCGTTCTCTGTCCCTCAACTGTACAGCTTGAGAAGCTTTAGTCTGTCTGAAACGAGTGGCTCCTTGATCCCTGTTAACCACTCTTCTCCCGAGAGAAAAATTTTCTGGTCGGTCAGACTGCAAGCCATTTTTTTTCTTCGACTTACGTCGAAAGTCGCGGCTCCAGCCGGAATATATCTCAATAGTTGCCTTCTCGCATCGAACAGCAAAGTTGCTCCCTTCTCTAAACTTGGATTAAGTGAATTTGTGGTATGATAGCTACTCTGCTATCGGATTGCCACTCGAATGGTCGAGCATCGATAGAGCGCAAAGCTGATTGCATCATGGTACTACAGTGCTCCATTATTCCACATTGCACTTCCCAAGCTTCTCTCACAAATCTGAAATTTCTAATGCTTGCGCGGGCTTCCGATCCTCGCCATCCGTCGCGCCGTCCCATCTGCATCCACACAAGAAGTGGATGGATCCGGTACTTCATTTCTAAAAGGAGAACTCCACGACAAATATCAAAATCGCAGACTATCGTCGCAAAGTCGACCTACTCTGGATACATTTCGAACCGCAGCGACCAGGGAAGCAGGAGCAAAGTTCCACCTGTCTGGCCGGACCTTTTATGCAACGGTACCTCACAGTGCTGCATGCTACTTGCTGCTTCGCGCGAAAGCAATCTCCAGTGGGTTTAGCGAGACAGATCTTCGTCCCTACCTTGTCCTATTATCATTTTCATTCTTTATTGAATGTTTCTCTAGATATATCATATGTTCAGCCTTAATACCAATTTTTTTTCTGCAACAAAACACGGTTCTACACCTGGGGCATTGTTGAATTCCGTCCGCGTCGGGCATGACCCAGGTTATTCATGTTCTCTCATGGTTCAAATTTGCCTCCTTGCCCTTCGGCGAGGTTTGCTGCCCACCAGTGAGCATGTTTAGAATCTGTTGGCAATTCTGTCCGCAATGCTGCTGCGGCGGCGACCACCGTGGACGGCCTCGCTTTGTCTGCGGATAGTCTCGACGAACTCTTTATCATTATCCACATGGCCATCGAACGACCATAGCGCAGGGCAAGGGCCGATCTTTCGGCGGAAGATTGTCGTCTTAATCCACCATGGCAGGACGGTACCAACTTGATGCTTCATAAAAGTACGAGTTGGAATAGCAAAGATATAGTCAAGCTCCTCCTGTGATGACTAGTCAGCATCATTCTCGTGATACACAAAGCGCAGGGAGGCTCACCAAGGTCCGTTGCTTGGTCTCGGGCAAGAATAAGAAGATCATAACAAGCGCGCAGATATTCAGGCCTGCGTAGAACCCGAACGCACCCGTCGGGCTCATCGCCGAAAGCATTCGGGGGAAAGTGATTGAGAGCACGGCAGCCCAGAACAAGCAAGTCGCCACTGCCCAAGCCATACCGACCTCACGGTGAGAAAGAGGGAAGACTTCGGCGGAATATGTGAATGGCACAGGCCCCTCTCCCGGCGAGTAGAAGGCCGCAAACTGTTACGTTATTAGTAGGTCCCCTCGTGCAGGGAGGACTTGCCGACATACCAAATAGATAAAGAGAGCCACCAGACCTAGATGGGCCTGGCTTGAGGAAGGAATTAAATAGCAAAGGCCGGCAGCTAGCAATGTCCATGCCATCTGAGGAAAGGTGAACAACAGGAGAGAACGACGGCCAAATGTATCGATGGTCCAAATGGCGGGCCAGGCGAATACAAAGTTCACCAACCCGAAGCCCCAGGATGCCAATAGTGAGTCCGTGACTGAGGCGCCAGCTTCCGAGAATACGGTGGAGCTGTAAAAGGCAATGATGTTGACTGTGTATGAATCAGCTTCCACTCAGATACATTGGATACCCTATGTACTTACTTCCGCACATCTGTTGAGCAATCATGACAGTGAAGGATGCAAGAGTGGCACGACGAACCCGTGGAATTGTGAAAAGTTGCAGGCACCGAGTAAGATAGTTGCTCTGCTTCTGGACCAAGCTGGCTTCCATGCGGAGTTGAGCAAAGATGTAGTACAAATCACGTGCAGCCTGAAGTTCGGTGTTTCGGAGACGCTTGAGTGATGTGAAGGCATTGCGGTATCTCCCTTTCTTGATGTACCAACGAGGAGATTCTGAGCATTGTCAATCGTGTAGCCTCACATAAAAAGCAGAAGTGACGTACCTGGACAGAAGTAGACTCCGATCAGAAGAGGCAGGGCAGGAAGCAGGGCAGAGCCAAACTGAAGGCGCCACGAGATGGAGCCAGTATCCTTAACAGCAAGATTGGCGCAGGTGCCCAAAAATATACCGAAAGCAGTCCACATCTGCCAACTCATGACTAGACCTCCTCGGACTGATGCAGGGGCGTTCTCGGCACTGAAGATTGGAACCGTCGAGCCTTTGCAGCCCATACCAATGCCGAGCAGAAGTCGAGTGACAAGAAGTTGATCCCACGCTGGACAAGGTAAGAAAGGAATCCATGTCGATGCCGATTGTGTACTTACTTTGAGCAACGGCAGAACCAATCGGACTCAAGAAGCAGAAGACGGCGGACATAAAAATGGTTCCTCGTCGGCCAAAGAGGTTGTTTAGTGGATCAGAGCACCAACAACCACTTAAGAGCAGTCAGTATTCTGGTGGACCCATTAGCATCAGGGTACTCACATGAATGCCGAGGCAATATATGGACCGGCATTTATCAGTCCTTGATACCATTGATTGCGGGCAGCGTTAGGATTCGGTTGTCCATTGGCCAACTGGTTACTAATTGGAATGCCTAAGGCGTCTGGGAAGGAGAGATTTGCACCGTTGGAGCCAGTTTGATCCCAGCCCTGTACAGCTGCACCAATCGAGCAAAGGATGATTGTGAAATAGAGTGACTTTGGCTGACGCCATTTGTGCAAGACCTCGTTACGAATGGCTTCTTTCTCGGGTTCACTGAGGCCCGGAACGCTCTCGAAGGCTGGAGGATCCTTGGCGACGAGAGCACCCTTCACGAGTAAGTCCGTCATGTCTGCAAAGTCGTTCTCCCTGGCGAACTCTTCAACATCTTTGATGACTTCCTCGTTGGACAGGTGAGTCAAGGGATTTTTGATCCTGTGATCTCTCAGTCATCAGGGCGCAGTGCTGGGTATTTGGCATACTTTGCCGTGGCGGTGTTCTCCAAGTCGATGTAGGCGGTCTCTTGCTTTTCACCGATGTACTTCTCGTCATCGCCGCTAGTTAACTCAGCGGCAGTGCTTTGCAAGGCTACGAAGTTGAACGCCTACCTTTTGGCGGGACTGTGCGCAATTTCTGGATCTTGGGATGCCATCTTCGAATGTATCCTATGGTAGAGCAGCTTGCAAGGCCGATTGAAGAGCAGAAAGAGGACACCACTGGGCTTGCTGGGGTTTATCAGTACGGCTGCCAGCCCCCATGTTCAAGCGGGGGCAGACAATCATCGATCCCAAACTCCACGGGGATCCCAAAGCGTGAGACCAACGAACCCAGCTGGAGATACTTGGCGAGCCGGTTGACTAGCAGGCGCAGATGCTTCCGTGAAAGGGTAAAGATGTACATCATGGCCCACAATCAGGGACCCGTGTGTCCATCAAATATTACTCAAAAAGTGTACGGTGGAAGCACTTGGGCGGGCCCCTGGGGCAAGAGACATGTGATATGGTATCTCTTGTTGTTTGAACAACAAGGAAAAATTCCAGTTGATCCACCGGGTCTGCTCCGGATCAGCGTTACAACGCGTTGAAGTCTGAGATGCGAGGATGACGATCGTGTGCACAAGAACCCTTGGCTTCGGTAGATAATCGACGTTGTCCGGTCTTGACTATCTTGGGTCCTCTGCCAATCGCACTTAAGCTTTCTTGACCCTTTGTGCTCTGGGATGACGATCTTAACCTCTATAGCAGCTCGTTCTGCTCACCAAAGCCTGCTCCGACGGGTAGGCGGCATAGCCGTCACGCACACCGACGACATTGTGCATATGCGGCTGTTGTGCTTCTAGCAGTCATTGCCAGCGGGTCCCCGCTCCTTTCATGCAATCCATTCGCTCTTAATTCCGCAGGACTATGCACGAAACCACAGGATCAAGCTCTTTTTTTCCTGCAAAGCGCACTCAGCTATGATTAGGCCGCCAACAGTTGGGGTCTGTGGGGTCCTTCACTGAGGAATCCAATGGAGCCTCCCTGGGGTGCCTATGACTCCCCAATCTGGATATTGATGCTCGGTCTCTGGTTTGTATGCCGTCTCTCTGCCGATCTACAGACTACCGGCTTTGATTGATTCTCGAACGTCGGCTGCATTGACCCTTGCCAACAGTTCAAAGCCGCAGTTTCCAGCCTGACGCACCCGCTTCAACTCTAACCCGCAGTTCGGGGGGAAGAGACTGCAATCAAACATCCTCTCCCTAGATATTCCATTCGCTCAAGCTGCACCATCGCTTGCTAGACGACTACTCCTCATGACGTCGTTGAGTTTTCATCGAAGTTTCTTTGCCCCCAGGTCGACATTTCGACTATCTGTTACCCTGCCAAACGAAGAAAAAGGTAGTAGAGTGCGATGGCTGCACGCCAAATGCCAAATCATGGATGCCTGCGGATGGAGGGTCTTCACAAATCACTAAGCGGCAGCAGCAGATTTGCTAAGAAGTCATTCTACAAGATAAAGAGGTTCAAATGGTTGAGACTCTCGTTCCTGCCGATAGTTCAAGGAAATTGGAGCAAGAGGCTACACTTAGGTAGACAACCATGTATTCTTGCATGCAGGTGCTATAGATTGCAGGACAACGCATCAACATTCACTAGCCCAGTTTAATATAGATCCGGCAAGAAATTATATAAACAATGTCTTCATCGGCTGCGTGAACCGAACAATGTACCGGATATCCACCAGTATTTTCCGGTAAATACTACTTAGACTCTATTTCGACAATAAATAGAATCTACACTCGATTAAGCTAGAGAGCTCTTCGAAGGCTGTGGAAAACTCGTAAGGAATTGCGAGGAGTTCAGAACTTTAATGGCCAACGCCGTCATCAAAGCAGAACTCGTCATCTCTTTTAGACTAACTATAGCGCTAGAATTGTACCGAGATTCAGAGAATGGTCAAATAACATTAGTAGAGGCAAGTCTTTCCCCTGACTCTTATAGGACATTCCTTTCATTAAGTTTAGATTTTTGGTACTGGCTCACATGTCCTAGCAAGTGGCTGCATCACTAGGAAGTGCTTTCTCACGTTGTCGACACTTCATTCCAATGTCAGCTAAGTGCAGATGTTGACTTTTATTACAAAGTTTCTCCTATTCCTGCCGGATATTTTCTTTTTCGTCATTAACAGTTAATTGTGCTAGGGCAGTTATTGAATTTCGCACCATTTACGTGGCTTTCATCAATGACAGCTGGATCTCGATCCCTAAGCTGGACGTGACCTAGCCTCCTAACTTTCCATACACTGAACGTGATCTCTTCAAAACAAACTCGGGGCCACGCTCTGGGCCATGACTTCTGACGGTGATGCCTCTCCAGCTCGGGCGAAAGCTTCATTCTTCTATCGTCATGTCCAGGACTAGCTTGCCACCAAATCCAGAATGATAGTCCTCCACCAACTGATTAAGCTTCGAGAAGGGGTAGGTTCGCGTCTTTGCTTTGACGTTGTTCTTGATACAGAACTCAAACATCTCTCTCATAGCTTTGTTCGAGCCGATTAAGCTGCCAACCACGCGAGTGCGACGAAAGACGATATCATCTGCTGAGACGTGGAAGCCCTCTGGCGGAAACGAGACCAACACCAAGAGACCGCCATTCTTGAGTAGCTGCATTCCATAATCAAATGACTTTTGACTCTCAGGCAAGATTATCACAGCGTCCAGGCCCATTTCTGACGGATGCTCCCTTCCATCTTCCTTGCCCATTTCCTGCTTGACCTCTTCCGGACTCTTGGATGAAGCGTCGATGATCGCGGCTCCCGTTTCCAAGCTCCTTGCAAGTGTAAGCGCCTGCGATACTACGTCGACGCCGGTCGTCTTCAGCCCCATTTTCGTCGCAAATTGCAGACCCAAGTGCCCAAGTCCTCCTCCACATCCCATGATTCCTATTCGCTGTCCAGGCTTGAGCTCGCATTTCATGAGAGCTGCAAAGATCGTGAGCCCCGCACACATCAGTGGCGCTGCTTCCACTGCTGTCATACCGGCTGGGATGATGGCTACTTGTCTCGAATCAACAATGGCGTATTCTCGGAATCCCCCAGGTTTACTACCTACGCCGAGGCCACCCCCAGCATTTGGGCAGTAAATAGAATACCCAGGCTCATCCGGCATAGGGCCCGAAGGATTCTGGCACTCGAGGCACCTCCCGCAAACATGGTTTCCACGACCTGGGACAGCCACGCGGTCGCCCACCTTCAAGCCATGCGCTGGTGGCTGGGTGGCGAGGCAGACAACAGTCCCAGCAAACTCGTGGCAGCCTATATGTGGCAGTGGAGGCGGACGCATTTTCCCCGAGGCGAGGACCGCATCTGTGTGGCAATATGAAGCCGCGTCTACTCTGATCAGAATATCGTTTGGATTCTCGATGGTTGGCACTGGAAGCTCGCGGACTTGATATGGCGTGTTGTATTGCTCTAGCACGTGGGCTCTCATCATTTTTGGCAGTTCATTGTTGGCCATCTTCTGAAGGTTTTGCTATCGATGGTGTTAGGTACAATTTTGCGCTACGAGCTTGAAGATTCCGCAGGGATTGCGTAAAGAAGGTAGGCAAGAGTAAAGAAGTGGAATGATAACTTACCTACCCCGCATTATCGTAGAAGAGTGCTGAGATTTTGTTCTAGCTTATCTAAGTCTAGACGTATAGTCGGGAGTGAAGGTGTAAAAAGTCGGCAGTTTTACTAAGTCCGCCGCCTAAGAAATGTTATCTTAGTTCTTAGACCCGTCGGCCTAATTACCTTAGATAGATAGGGTTCACTATTTTACTGCGTAAATTATCTTCGCGAGAAGAGTCTAAGCTCTATGTTAGACACAGCCTTAGAAGAGACCGATCACGAGTCTTATAGATACGACTCACCATACTCATTAGATATATAGAAGATTTCACAGAAGAATAAGACTAAGTTACATAATATTGTTAGAGCTGCCGCTAAGTCCTAACTAGGTTAGGTATTCTCAGTAATAAGCCTCTAAATAGTATGAACTAATCGTAGGTCACGCAAGGTATGAGAAGTGAATGTTCCTAAGAAGCGTATAGTTCATTAGCTAACATAAGTTACCTACGAAGGGAGTGTAAACTATCTAGGGGTAATAAGAGTATATATAATACTCATACTCTATGCGCTCTATGCGCTCTGTCGCAACAGAGCTAATAGAGCCAGCAGAGCCAGCAGAGCATATTACGTAACCTAGCCTTATTCTCCTATAGATTCCTCTATATATTTAATAAGCGTAGTGAGTCGTTCTCGTACGACTTATAACCGATCTTCCTTAAGGCTATATCTAACACTATCCTTCCTCCGGTTAAATTCTTATTCTAAGGATTTTTCTCGGTAGTAATATAAAAGCGAAACTACGCCTAACTTTAAGTTTAATAGATTTAAAGATATCTTCTTCTTCTTCTTCTTTTTATTTTTCTCGATCTCGTCGTAATCATTCTTTTGAGCGTCTTCGTTAGTTCCGCTACGTACTCTTCACTAGTTATCGCCCTATAGCTCTTTATTCGAACTATAATCGCTCCGGTTCCATCTATATAATGAAGCACGAAGTCTCTCGCTATTCCGAGTGTTTAAAAAAGAATATAAAGTGTGATGGTCAGTACTTAGAAGAGAAGTACTAAAGTATCGAGCGAAAGAAGTCGAAGTTACGGGATAAAGTGCGTAAAGCCTAGGCTCGTATGGCCCAGCGCGCTTAGTGATATACGAAGAAGATAGCTCATCTTACTTAGTAATAATCGTTGGAGCTATTGTAGAAGTAGTTCCGGCTGTCCCTAGTGAAACATTAGCTAGATAAGTTAATATAGACTTAGAGTAATATAATCGTTCGGGGCTATTTAGTACTTAATCATTTAGACGAGAAAGAAGACTTTACGCCGAATGAACTTAAGTCGTTACTAGCTCACGGCGAGTTTACCTTTAACGACGGATAGCTAAACGCTTTACCGGCGTTGAGAACTGTGGAATATCGCCCTCTAAAGGTTTATATTAAACCTTTAGTCACGTAATTAAATACGAAGTTTAAGTTCGTATTTAGATCTAGAGTCTATGAAATCACGTAACTAGTGCGATATTAATTCCGCACTCTATTAAATAATTAGTCGTACTTACTAATGTTGATTTAAAATTAATATTTTAAGGGTCTTAACTGTGAACACTTATTGTCTATATAAAGATCTTTACTCTCCCTAGATAAATAGTTATCTTTAAGTTCTTTAATAGTTACTTATCTACCTATAAAGTTTACGATCTATATAAGTCTTACTATCTATATATTAAATAGTTCTCTAAGTTCTTCGAATAAATTATAAGCCCGGGTTAACGATAATCCGGTGCTACTATAAGATATTATCGACTATTACTTTATCGACTACTATCTTATCGACTACTATCTTATTAACTTAACTTATTACGAACTAGTCTCGATACTAGTAAACGATAATTTAGTAAATAGACTTATATACTAAGCCTATTAAGTCGATCGAACTTCCGGTTACTAGGTTATCGTTATTAATCTAGCTATTCTAAGGCTAATAGTTATTTATACTATTATAAGATCTTCGGTTCTACTATCTATATATAGAGAAAGATATTCTCTATATATATAACTTAGTATAATGGCGAGCGATTTAAATCTATTTAGAGTTCCTCGACTTAAAGAATCTATAAACTAGGAATTCTAGACTTTACGAATGAAAGCCTATATAATCGATAAAGACTACGAATCGGCCTTATATTTTATTATCTCTTACGACGAAGAAAAAGATACTAAGAAGAACTATTAAATCTATTTATTAGAACGAGAGAATAAGTCTATTAAGATTAGTGCTCTAATACGACTAGCACTTAATAATAGTTCTCTTATATAAGTTAAGGAGATAAATAACGTTATCGATATATAGAATAGACTTAAAAGTCTTTATAAACTTAAAGGCTTTAGTTCTAAGATCCTTATATATAAGGAACTATTTAGTACTAGTCTAACGACTTTAGAAGATTCTATCGAAGTCTATTTAACGAGAATTAAGCGATTATTCGACGAATTAGTGGCTAGAAAGCTCGCTATATTAAATAAGATTATTATAATCTATACGCTAAATAATTTAATAACTAATTACGAAAATATCGTCGCGATAATTACTTAAAGTCTTAGATCTAGCGAAAAAGAGATTAATTTATTCTCTATATTTAGCTATTTACTAAACGAAACGAGACGTTTAAAGTCGATCTACTTTACGGAAATAGCTATAAATACTAATACTAAGACTATATCTAAGTCTAAGTATTCCTATTACTATAAAAACGGTTATAAAATCGAAAAATACTAAGTAAAAAATCTTAGTCTAAGGTCTCCTAGGGTTACTAACTCTAAAGATCTTAAAAAGACTAAAAAAAGCGAATTTACTCTTTTAGTAAAAGAAGAAGAAGATTAACTAGCTAAAGAACTAGTTAAGAGTTAACTAGTCGAATAAATAAAATTCGCTTTATTTATAATAGACGATTTATATAGCTAAAATATTTAGATATTAGATAGTGAGGCTAGTAGATATATATACTTTATTAAAGCGCTATTTAGCGACCTAAGACTCTATAAAACGATCTTAAACTAAGATAATATTTTTAATATTTTAGTAGAATGACTAGAGAACGTTTAAGTATATTTCAGGTTAACTAGTCGAACTATAATTATCTAAGATTATTTATATATATTATAAATAAGCTTAAATTTATTAAGTTTAAATATACTAGCTAAAAAGAAAGCATCTATATCGATAGAAAATAATATAATTAATCTATTAATAAAAGATAAGACGATAGCTAAAGATTATTATAGATATAATCTTATAACTATCGATATTTATCTTACTACTAAATATATTTATTTCGCGGTAAATAAGAATATTTAGTATTAACGAATAGATTATATAGATAGTATAGTCTTAAAGATACTATTTAAGAAAACCCTAGATTATAATTTATCTATAAAATTATCTATATTAAAATATAAAATATATATTTAATTAAAGACTATAGTAAAAATTAGTCGAATATCGATATTTAAGACTTAAGAAACTCTCGAAAAGATTTACTTTAATATATATAGATCTATAACGCTAGAGATCTTCCTTAAATAGCGCTATATCGTCTCGTTTATAGACGATAAGATAAGATACGTAATTATTCGCTTATTATTTAGTAGAGATTAAGTCTTTAATGAGTTTAAAGATTATCTATCGAAAGAAGAGAACTAATTAAATACTAAACTAAAGCGTTTATATTTCGATAACGCTAGAGAATATAAAAGCGAATAGTTCCTAGCGCTATTTAAAGAAAAAGGCGTTATAGTAATTTATTCAGTCTCTTATACGTTTAAATAAAACGATATAAGCGAAATATTTAATTATATACTTATAAATAAGATACGAGCGATACTTATATTCTTAGAATTATCTAAAGAACTATAGAGAAAAGCGACTATAGTCGTTATTTATATTTATAATAGAATCTTATATTCTAGTCTAAAAGACTTTATAACGCCTTACGAAGCTAAATATAATCGATAATTTAATATTTTAAATATAAGAATCTAGAGATTTATAGCTTATAAAAGAGAACTAAAGAAATCTCTTAAAAAGCTAGATTTTAGAGTAAACTCTTATATTTTAGTTAGTTACGAATTAAATTAATATAAGCTTACTAAGTTTAGCGCTAAATATAGAATTACTATAGCGCGAGATATTAATATACTAAAAGAAGTCTTTATAAAAAATCTTTTAGAATATTTATTTAATAAATTAGCTAAGATATAGATATAGATCGACACTATAATAAATAAGTAATTAGTTAACTACTTAGAAAATTAACTAATTAAATTAATAAACGATTAACTAATTAAATAAATAGATAATTAACTAGTAAACGATTAATTAATTAAAAATAATAACTCTATAAGAGATCTAAGATCTATAGAGAATCGATTATTTATTAAATAAATAAAATATTATATAAATAATAAGTTTACGTTATTAGCTATCGATCTTATTTATCTCGAGGCTATATATTTTAGCGACGCGCTAAAATAGAAAATAGTTTATTAATTTAAGATAAATAGTCTTAAAAAACGTAAAATCTAGATATTAGTTTCTAAAACTATAGATTTAAAGATTTTAAATAGAAAATAAGTTCTTAAAATAAAGAATCTTAATTAAAATTCTATTTATAAGACTAAATAAGTAGTTAAAGATTTTTAATAATAATATAGTATCGATTATAATGAAACCTTTATAAATATAGTTAATTCTATAACTTAGAGATTATTTTAAGCTATAGTCGTCTATCTAAATCTTAAAATATAATAATAAAATATTAAGAACGTTTTTATTAATGTTTATTTATAAAAAAAGATCTATATATAGTAATTATTAAGTTAAAAAGATTTAAAATACTTTAATTAAATATATTTATTAT